TAATGTTATTTTTAAGCAGGATGAATTTTATGAAAAATAGCAACACAATATATATAAACATTTGTGAAAATGATAGCACCATGTGATATCAAAAATAGCATCATACACAATAAAAAATAGCATCAAATACAGTTCTCTCGGTTCTCACACTAGGACTAGTTTCTATTTGACCACTCTATATATATATATATATATATATATATATATATATATAGGGATTGGTTCTAATGCATCCACTTATTTAAAGTGAGGACGTGAAACTCATTTTTAACCACAAGATTTGGTACATCATGTGTGGCCAAGATTTACTCTTTTCTTTTTATTATTTTAATTATTTAAATATTATTTTGACCCATTGACTCCGGCGTTGACCGTTGACTTTCGGCGTTGACCGTTGACAACTAACCTTCCAACTAGGTCAGTTCTCTGTAGTTGCTAGGTTAGTTCTCTCTAGTTGCTAGGTTTTTTTCTTTTTAGATCAAGACCCCAAAACAGGGGCCCAAAATAAAAACAGTCTACAGTCTACAGAGTCTCACAAGCAAAACAAAGTCTCAAAAGAAATAACAGTACAAAGTCTATCTTCGGGCTAACAGGTGCCCGGGAATAAAAGTCAAATCTAATGAAAGCAATAAACCTAATCTACTGAAAGCGGAACGATGGATATCTAAGCTGGTCCATCCGTACAAGCGTGCGAAGGCGGAGTGGAGAAGTGTCGGTTTGGAACGTGTGTGGGTCTGGTATGGTGGCGCCAAGGCTGCCAGGGTAGTCAGCAGGTAGTTGCTAGGTTAGTTGTCTGTAGTTGCTAGGTTAGTTTTATGTAGTTGCTAGGTTAATTATTAGTTCTTGCTAGGTAAGTTGTATTTAGTTGCTAGGTTAGTTGTGTCTAGTTGCTAGATTAGTTGTCTCAAACAACGCCCCGGAAGGGCGGGGGATTGGGCTGGATCCCCAACCTGTGCATAGATCAGGGCCCCAAAATCGGGGTCCCAAAATATCAACGAGCAAGATACAATAGTTTACAGAGTCTCACTACCCAAAATCAAAAACAAGAGACAAAAAGGAAAAACCGAAAACGAAAAAGAGACAGAAACTACAATACAAAGTCGATCTTCGGGCTAACAGATGCCCGAAGTAAATGTCTAGACTAATGAAGGAAAAAATCCTAAACTACTGAAAGCGCAAAGCTGGATATCCAAGCTGGTCCATCCGTACAAGAGTGCGAAGGCGGAGTGAAGCAATGTCGGTCTGAAATGTATGTGTGTCTGGTATGGTGGTGCCAAGGCTGGCCAGATAGTCGGCAGGTCTGTTCCCCTCACGGAAAATGTGCGTGATCCTGTGATGGACAGACCGGAGTAGAGCTCTAATACGCATAAGCGGGTGCTGAATCTGCCACGAGCCCTGGTGGCCCGAGGTCAAAAGGGTGGCTACAGCCGCAGCATCTAGCTCGATCCAAATGTGGCTAGAGAGGTGGACAACAATCTAAATTCTGATCTGTAATGCATGAATCTCTGCATCATAGCTCGAGGAGGCCTGAAGGGACGCGTGGAAGGCGGTGATGAGGGCGCCGCTATGGTCCCGGATCAAGCCTCCTCCTCCGGAAACTCCAGTGTGGCGATCAAAGGAGCCATCCGTGTTCAGCTTGACCCACGGGGAGTCAGGTCTAAGCCAAACAACAGCTCTGGGCCGAGGGTGCCGAACAGGCGGTGGTGGGGCCACCATGTAGCGATGGGGTGGCCTGCAGCCTGTCCAGTCTCGGGCCGTGAGCCTGCCCAATGCGATGAGGAGTGAAATGTGTCTCTCTACCTGCAAAACAATGTGATAAAATATAAATGTAATATCCCTATGCTTCGCACTATTCCTTTATGTCCAGGTGAACCAAAGGATCAGACAAGGAATGAGGAAGCCCACGTGTCTATGGTGTGTGCTCTGTGAGAAGAAACTCAGAAGTTCAAGAAACTGTATGTGGTGGGTAGGGATATATGTGTCCAAGTGGCAAAATGCTCCCACACTCTCCTCACAATCTTACTCTCTAGAAAAAAGTGGGTAAAGGTCTCGGTCTTATGGCGTCCAGTCTCAGAACAACACACACACCGAGAGGGGAAGGAGATCCCCCTCGCGTGTAGCACAGTATCCGACGGGTATCCCCCTTGCGTCCAGTCTGATGTTGCTAGGTTAGTTATGTCTAGTTGCTACGTCTGTTTCTGTTGTTGCTAGGTTATTTCTATCTTGTTGCTAGGTTAGTTATGTCTAGTTGCTAGGTTAGTTGTCTGTTGTTGCTAGGTTAGTTCTATCTTGTTGCTAAGTTAGTAAGTAGTTGCTAGGTTAGTTCTAAGTAGTTGTTAGGTTAGTTGTCTCTTGTTGCTAGGTTAGTTTTCTGTTGTTGCTAGGTTAGTTTTCTGTTATTGCTAGGTCAGTTAAATGTAGTTGCAAGGTTAGTTGTCTGATGTTGTTAGGTTAGTTGTTTGTTGTTGTTAGGTTAGTTATCTTTAATTATTCTTTCATACATGATACATACTAAGGTCAACGGGTCAACGCCGGAAGTTAACGATTAACGCAGGAAGTCAACGTCGGAAGTCAAAAGTCAACGCCGGAGTCAACGGTCAACGCCGGAGTCAACTACTAATTTTTTTTATAATTTAATTAATGTATATTTTAATGATTAACATAAATTCATGATCTAGACAAAATGAGTGGCTAAGATTGAGTCTCACGTCCACATTTTAAGAGGTGGACTCATTGGATCCATCCCCTATACACACACACACACACACACACATATATATATATATAATACATATATAAATAATTATTTTGTTACATTCATTCAACAAATAAGTAAAGTGTAAAGGAAATAGGCATGAATCCTGTCAGATCATATCGAAGAATGATCATTACATCATTTTGGAATCTTTTTTTTTTTTCGAAACGATAGATATTATATAAAAACGCAAAACAACGTAATTACAGCTAGACAACAGCTAGAATAGCCAAACAGCCAACCAGCTGAATCTAGGAGGCCTACACCTACACGGAGGTAGCCTAAAAACAACTACACTAACACACCCACATCAGAACCAACTAAACAACTCCCAACAGGAGAATAACACGCTCCCAAAAGGAGAAAACACAACAACACAACAACTAACACACCAAAAAAAACCACAAACCACCACAAACACTAAACAACACATACAAATAAAACACAAAAGAAAAAAAATTAACAAATAAGAGCCCTCCACATCCGCAGCAAACGACCGAGCTACACACGCGAACGGTCCCAACAGAAAAATAGACGCACGACTCAATCCAGATCTAGAAACTGCAATCGAGGCCTAACTAAACCCAGACACACAAGCCGAACCTCCTCCTGCCGGAAACACTCCGAGCCCCACCGCGAGTTCCATACGGATAGACACCCCAACATCATTTTGGAATCTGAATGTAACAGTTTTAGGTGGTATGTAAAAACTAATAAAATTGAATGTTGAAAATTTTGGAGGGATAATAAAATTTAATGAAGAAAACTAATAAAATTGAATGTTGAAAGTTTTGGAGGAATAATAAAATTTAATGCATGATAATATAATTTAATGCTTTGTTGCTCCTCTATATATATATATATAGATTAAATTCTCTACTCTTCAAAATCTAAACAAAAAAAGGGTAAAAATAAAAATATAATTGTAAAATCATATTATCCAATTTACGAAACTAAAAACAATATAGGTATGAGAGATAATATTAATAAATAAGAGATTTCTTAAGTACTAGTCAATTTTGTTGTTATACGAATAGTACCAAACGAGATTAATAAAATATTACAATTTGATTAATTGAACGAATAGTAAAGGAGTTCGATGATAAAATATCCAGTCTTTTCTTTGTTTCTCATTTTCGACAGATCGATCAGGAAGATAAAATACCGTTATGTATAATTACTAATTAGTAACTTCTCGTAATATTCTTTTACTAGCTATTTTCTTTACATCCATTTCTAGTTGGCTCCTATTAAGAAATTTATCAAATTATTGTTTTTCTTTTTTCTTTTTTTCCTAAAAGGAATACTTACTAAAAAGATGAGTTTTCAGGGATGGCTCGAAAAGGAGAAAAATCAAAAAACATAACTTGGAATTCCTCACCATGATATTGAATTATTGATATATCATATCCAAGCCAAAAGGAGAACGAACAATGTAAATATAGTTGCTAATTAAAATGCCCTTAATTGTGACATTTAAAAGACATTTAGATTCCACGTGATTGGGCCCACACTATTCTCAAATTGACTTTTGGGTGAACCACTCTTCCTGTTGAAGGGCCCGCTAATATTCATTGTGCTTCCTTTTAATTATTTTTTGTATTTATATTATATACACCCACAATATATTTTATTTTATTATTATTTTTTGTATTTATATTATATACACCCACAATTTATTTTATTTTATTATTATTTTTCTTCAATAGTATTTATAACTTTTTTAGCTGTATTATTATTTGAAAACTATATGGTAGGCCCAAACAACATCCAAATAGGCGAGGTTCCGAGTTAGGGCTCCAGCTCCAGCAAGAAGTCCGGAGGATACGGCCCAATACTGCCCAATATATCCATCCTTGGTACAGATTACTCAAATCCGAGCCCATCGTCAAAAGGTCAAGGCCAATAATTAGATTGTCGAGAAAATTATGAGGAAATGACTCCACCTACATGTTTTATTTTTCTTTTTAACAAAATTATACATTCAATTGTTTTTTCCCAAACTTACAGGGTGAGACCGTCAGAGTAACTGATTTTAGCATTTTTTTAAGGGAAATTGTGCTAAACAATAATAAATAATTATTTACAGGGGAAAGAGTCTTTCAATTGCATTATAGGCAATAAAAACTTAAATCAGTAACTTCTTTTCAACCGAATTGTCTTCAATAAAAGCTTAAATTTGTTAATAAAACTGATTGCAAAACCAGTAACTTATTAATAAAATTGCTTCACTATTTATTGGTAGGAAGATGAATACTCATTTGTTAATTGAAAACCAAAAGTCTTGTACAGAAGTGATTGCGAAACATAGGATTCACGGGTCATGTCCATTGGACTCTTTTTTTGAGGATGATGATGAAGAGTTTGAGCTGTGGATTCGTAAGGGTCTTCTAAAACATCCTAATATGAAGCGAGATGGGTAATTCTTTTGCATTTATTTTTTTATAATTTATTTTTTAAATGTTACTAATTCTCATGTTTATAATTATATATTTGTTTTTGCATAGTGTTATTTTTTATGACAAGAAGCATGAAACTATAGATCCAGGGTTTGATTTTAATGTGGCTCAAATTAGTGATAAGGCATGGTTTTATACACTCTTCGAGCTGGGATATTTTTGGGAAGCCAGTGTTAGTCCCTACTATTATATTAAAATTTTCAATACTTGTTTGTTTCTTACTACATATTTCTGATATTATTAATTTATTTATTCCATTTCACAGCATATTGAAGTTATTTTCTACTACTTGAGGAAGATCGGGTTGTATTCAAATTTGAAAATAGCTGTGAGATACACAACCACCGATCCATTTTTTGATGAAACGATCAAGTCGTTGTATTTGAGGTATATTGAGCATGCTTCTGAAAGTGTTATTGATGTCTCTGACCTCATTTTTTATTATATAATGGGTTACAAACAAATATGCGGCAAACCATGGTTTGAAGTTTATCACGTTCTATTCCCGATATACATTGAGCTAGACAAAGTAGGCCGTTGGATCCTTGGCAGACTTTCATTTGTTGATAGATTATTTTATGTTTATAACTCACGTTGGTCGGTAAATGATGATTCCGAAGTTGCAAAATCTGTGAAGTGCTACTCAGATATCCTACCACTTTCCTTGGACCTTGTTGGATTTTATAAGAATACGATATGATATCAAACAGAAGAATTGGCGATATGTGACAAAGAAAATTACCGAGCCTTTCGATATTGTTATTGTTAAGGGGTTGCCAGGAGAAAGACTCAAGTAGACTAATATCCATATATATATATATATATATATATATATATATATAATTGTAGGCTATCCANAATATATATATATATATATAAATTAATAGGTTAGGTTCATATGGTGGTTTCACATCAAATCTTATATTTGTCGTGTTTGTTCAGCGATTCCGGGTTGTTTGTGGCATCATATGCAGAGCACTTTATCACTGGAACCGAAATGCCTACTCGAGATTTTGATTGTTATTTACACAGAAAACGTTTAGCTACTTTACTATTCAAGCATGGAAACCTCAAACTGGAACATGGTTACCAAAGTGCGGATGAATCCCCAGGTCTTTTACCCAATGATGCAAGAATGGTTTTGTATGATAACAAGAACAAAAAGGAGACTAAATAGTTTTTAAGTTCTATTTTATGTTTCTTCTATTTTTTTGGTTTTCTGAAACAGGATGAATGCAAGTGTTTTCTAATAAAAAAATCTACAGCATTTTAGTTTGGTGCACTTGTTTTTCATAATGTTTGCTTGTTTAGGCTTTAATAATTGTTTTGGGAATTCATTATATGCATACACTATATGTAACATTTATCTAAGAATAAGGATAAAAACTTCATTGGACATGAAAGATGGTTTTTATACCAAGAAGTCCTGTTGGAAATTAAAACATGGTATTGTACATGTTAACCACAGAGGAATAACAAGCAGAAGCTTAAATATAATTAACTTAATAAATCCCATCTTTATGCCAATGATACAGAGATGCTCCCGTTTCATCATTATAACCACCTCATCAATCAAAAAAAATAGTAAATGAATAATCGAAGATTCAAATTTATCGGCTAATGATTACCTCAAAATCGAGCATCTTCAATATCGCCCAGCTAAAGGAGCAAGATTTGTATCATGTAGAATAACTTAAATACAAAAGCTTAAGGTAATAAATTTGTTGTTTAATTCCCATGCTTACAAAACCATATCCATCAGGATTTCATAATATAACAGAAAACCAGGTACTGTGATTACAAAAATATTAAACAACTTATTCAATTGACTTATGTATGACTTCTTGTGCATAAATTTTCGTCGGTTTAGCTCCATTGTTGTCGGCATCTCTAGGCGAAGCAAGAGACATTTTGCTAATCAGCCTTCTAAACTCTGTTGAAGTTTCTCCATCACTTTAGGTGCTTTAGTTCTTTTGATATGGAAAAGAAAGGTTTGAAATGCTAGTGGCTTCTGTACTATTATTTGTAACTAATTACATTAGTGTGACTAAATTTCAAAGTCGAAGACATTAGTGGAAGTATAAATTTTCACTTAAAGGAGTGAAAATTTGTTTTAAAAGAAACGATACAGAACAGTAGAAAACCTTCAATAAATACTGAATTTAAAAAAATAATACTTAAACATGTGTTCCTCAATCAAGTATCAATGAGCTAAACGTTTCTAGCTTTTCTACCAAATGAATGCTCAAATTCACATCTTGGGCGGATTATGACATGTTTTAACATTATGCCCCTTCTGGCCACATTTTCTGCATCGAGTCTTCCTTCTGTACTCCCATTCCGAAATAAGTCTCTTCTTTCTTCGCCTCCCAGACTTTGATTTACCAAATGGCGGTAGTACAATGTTTGGTGACATCTCAGCGTAATCTTTTTCTAGTATGTCACCTTCACCAGGGAAGACTGTTTCTTCATATGTAGCCAACATGCTTTCTTTACGATAATACCACGAACAATATGGGAGTGGGTCCTCGTTATTGCCTCTAAAACAGAAAGAGCATGCGGACATGGAAGTTCATCCATTTGGAACCGATTGCAACAACAAACCTTTTTTTACCAAATCAACCACATAAAATCTCTGTCCTGACGAAACCTTGTATATCCGATCACTTGCCTTGTGTACCTTTAAGTTATTTAAAAAAATAAGTAATTGCAAAATAAAACAAAATATTAATCATATTATAATTCGTACCGTCATACATCCAGCTATTCTGTAGTTTTCTTCAAGCATCTGGTGCCCACGCTTCATGAGTGTTGTGAATGTATTTCGTGCCTCGTCTCCATTTTTCACATTCCACCCTTGTTGTAATGATCTTAAAGATTCAAGAAAAGCGATTATAGGCAATTCTCGAGCGACTTTCGTTGCTGAATTTATGGACTCTGCTGCATTAGAGGTCATTGTCAAGAATCTATTGCTCAAACAATGTGTCCTTGCCCATCTATGGTATCCCACTTCCTTCAGGTATGGTATAACTTCCTCATTTGCTTTTTTCAACACATCCATATGGTGGTCGAATTCCTCAAGCGTATACGCTCGTGCCGCTGCCTCGAAAGCATGCTTAACTACATCTGAATTTTTTGTATAATTTGTCTTTAGATTCTTTGACAAATGATAGATACAAACACAATGAGATGCACTTGGATAAACCTGTGAACATGAATATTCTATGTTATTTGAGAAAAATATTTAACCATAACATAAATATGTGGAATCAGGGAAATATTAGAGCAAGCATTTGAATTAGAGACGAAGGCAATATTTTAATAACAGTGAAAATTAAATTATATACTTTTCAGTTTTTTCAGTTCTTTATGAATTACTTTGTATATTCACCATTTTATATGAAACCTTTATTCCAAATTGATTTAAATAATATTATTATTTTTTTACAAAAAAAAAAAGTCTATTGTATCAAACTATGTAACACCTAAGAACAAACAGTCCAAAATATTGCTTCTGTGCATAAATTAAATTGGTTGGTACCTTTTCTAATGCATTTGCTATACTTTCATGTCGATCGGTTACAAAACATAAGTTGGGCCGTGCACATAGAGTTGATTTAAGGTTTTCGAAGAACCACTCATACGAGCTATCATTTTCAGAATCAACAACACCGAATGCAAATGGCAAGATGTGTGCATTCGCATCTTGTGCGCTGGCTGTTATAAGCGTCCCTCCATATGAACCCTTCAAGAATGTTCCGTCAACTACAACTATCGGCCGACAATGCTGCCATCCTTTAATTGAAGCACTCAAAGACATAAATAGATACATGAAGTGCTTATCCACTGTAGTTTTGAGCTTAACAACCGATCCGAGATTCGACTTGCACAATAGTTCAAAATATCGAGGAATTACTTCATAAGATTCGGCCGGGTTGCCCTGCACCTCGTCTAGTGCTTCTCTTTTGGACCTCCATGCCTTCTTATAGCTAAGGTTAATTCCGTAGTCATCCTTCATGTCCCTGATTATGTCAGCTGGCTTATAAGATGTTTTTATGTTCGAGAACTTGGATTTTATGCATTCAGCCACAAGTTTCGATGTAGCTTGTCTTTGTTCATTCATCCTTATATCGAGAGAACATGTATGTTGGGCCTCTGTGCTTCTTATTCTGAAAAACGTCGAATCACCTACACTTGAAGCTTTTATGTACCAACTGCATGCGTCATCAATGCATCTTATGTAGTATTGCTTTGGACAGGACTTCACGACTTTGTACTGAAATTTCTGTTCGAGGGCAAGAGTACTTAAAGTCATTTGCAGTTCCTTCTTAGTTCCGTACATCTTCTCCATCATAAAGCCATGCATACTAGGTGAAGGAATATTACCTACACAACCACTTTTTGTAGAATTTTCAAGCTGGGCTGCGGTGTGTTCGGCTTGCGCTAACATTACATTAGTTGCAGACTGTGCAAAGTCAAGGATTTTTTCTTTACATTTATTTGATCCAAATTTGAATCCAGGTTTCATGAAACTCAATGGCTGCACGTGACAATTATGCTCATGTTCCATTACAGCAAAATTTGAGACTTCCTTTCGCGTGATGGTTATGCATAACGGGAACTTTGTAAAATCAGGTTCTCTTTGCTTCAGTTCCAGATAAAATTTTAAGCTACTGTCCGTCTCAATTTCCACTGATGGATATGCCTCTTTGACTTGGTACTTGATGATCAAATTTTTATCTGCTAAGTTGATCTTCAATTTATCCGCAATAATGTCACATAATACACTGAAACTACAGTCATTATTGACTACAATACCGCATACGTCATAGTCAGTGTATATCTGCAAATCAATCCAATGACCATTGTGATGCAGAAAGATCAGTGTAGTTCCCATCACCTGTTTCACCATAATAACATATATGATTCTTATTTATTTTTTTTAATTGAGTTTATCAGACAAAGCAAATTTATATGGATTTGCTGTACTAGGCCATTTTAGGCATTAAGCCACTCCATCAATATAAAATTCATTATAGTTCATGTTCTTAAAAATAAGAATTATATATAAATCTACTATAATTTATATATAAATTATAAGAATACAAACTGAAAACAAGAATTATAAGAATACGTGTTCTTATCAAAGCTACAATTTTATTCTCCTTGCACTCTGCTTGCTCGGACTCCTTGATAAATCAATTTTCAGTGACACTTTCTTTTCTTCTCTTTAAATTCTCCGTACAAAGTATAGCAAATGCGTTTTTTTGTTTCATGGATGGAGGTTTTCATTTTTCGTTTTTTTTTTAATGAATATAAATAAGTGAAAGTGTCTGTTGGGAGTTTATTAACTTCCACCACGAACCACGACTCTTCGTATTTTTTGTCTTTTAATTTGGTTTGCCAGATTATTTTATAATAATTCTACTTGCTATTTAAACTTGGAAAACACTAGTAACTACTCTGTATTAGTGTAAATTGCCCGAAAATTATGTCCAAGGCACGTTTTCCATGAGTTAATAGAAAAACTGTTTTTGGCCCATTAAGAACTTACACCCATGTGTTCTAACTTATAAAGGATGCTCCAATGGTTCACTAATGCTCCTTCTTTCCGATTACCATGGAACAAAATATTTTTACCTTAAGGCATCTTTAAGCTCAACATATCCTACTATTTTTAATAATTAATTCATTATAAACGTTCATTTTCTACATTTGTAATTAATAATGTTGGTTGTGCAAAGCAAAAAGATAAATTATATTGATTCACAACTCTGAAGATTTAAAATTATCAATGTAATACTATAGTTTCTATAAATATAGGTTTTGAAAGATAAGTTAATTATTAATTCGACATTTAAAAGATAAAAATCGATCACTTTAGACCCACAAAAATAAAATTATCAATTCAAAACTCTAGAATTAAAAAGAAATAGAAAAATAATATTAAATTTCTGGACTTGACTCGTTTTATTTTGGTATGTGACTAGGACAGAAACTTACAATTTTTTATCTTTGTTTTATTTTAATTTTTTTTTTTTTTGGTGTTTCTTATTTAAATTTTTTATTTTATTTTAATTACCAATGTGGCGTACAAAAATTTACGGAAGTTTTTCATTTATTTTTAATTTTTATTTATCTTAAGATGTTTTAATTTTCGAATTCTTAAAATTGATAGTTTGACTACAATTCTGAAAAGAAATATAATTCAATCAAAGTGCAGCCCTCTTCAAGCTTAGTGAATTGTCCGCTAACTGATGTGATCAAGGAAAGAGTTCGATTCACTAGTCTAATGGGCCGGATAAGGAAGTACGTCCGAGAGTAAGGCCTAAAATTTACAAATAATCAGATTAATTATTTTTTTATACACAATATTTTCTTGTCATATAGTTTTTCATATCACAAATTGGTATTTTAAACTCTTCTTATACGTAAGATTTGCACTGCATAAAATTGATCATCTATCATTATATAAAAAGAATAACCCTTTTACAAATTTAGAAACCTTTTCCCGCCAAAATCATTAAATATATCCTACATATAGTAATTGTTGGACAAACCTGAATAGGCAAAAAAATCGGTTCATTAATTGTGAAAAGATTTGTTTCTTTTTTTCCTGTTTTTTAGTTTATCAAAACCGTTGTTTGACAATAAATATTTGTTCTTCTTTTTCCTATTCTTAGTATAAATCTAAACGAGCTTATCTCTTTTGTTACAAAATCTCATTGCATAAGTCTCACGTCTCATCCCTTATCTATAGAGATTTGAAAAAATAAAATAAAATAGAAACCAATTCATAATTACTACTAGAAATTCATTATCTACCTTAAGAAGCTAATTTTCATCGGTCTAATTACTAATATTTTTACAAATATTATAAGCTAACCATACAAAAAAGTATAATAATAATTTTGAAATGGTGTGTGATCAAATTTTTTTATATTCTCTTATACAAAATAATTTTACATTGTTTGACCCCGAATCTTTAATTTATAATTATTAAGTATTTTTTATCCTCCTCTTTAATTTATAATTATTTTTTTTCCTCTTTTTAAATAGGATCAATAGTAGTTTCCACTTCCGCCATTGAGTGACTCAAACTCGAGGTCTATTTATAATATTGTTAATTTAATATTGTTCCCGTGCATCGCACGGGGTACACACTAGTTAGTACTATTTGAAGGACTAAATTGAGTTTAACTAAATTTCAATTAATTCTTTAACTAAATTGAGTTTCTATTAATGAAAAAATAAATAAATAAACACTCATTATCGCATCTTTATTTTGGATATCATGCTAAAGTGAGTAAATGATGATATAAATTTTTACATATCAATATACCATATCACCTTTAAAAATGAAAAATCATTAAACATTGATATTATTTTTAGTCATCCATTACGTCATTATACTATAATAACATTATGTATAGCAATTGTTTTAATTTTAGTAGATGTGTTAAAGTTGTTATAAAACAGCAATTATAGGCAATTGTATTTTTAGAACTTGTGTTAAAGTTGTTGTTTATAAAACAACAACTATAGGCAATTGTATTTTACTTATTTAGCCTTGAGCAAACCCTAGATATAAAAGGGTTGGACTCTCCATTTCACAACACACTTTTTCATTATTCATTTTCTGATTTTTGTTCATCTTTCTCTCGTCTCTCTTTCTCTCTGTATCATCATCCTTTTCTTCGATTATCAGATCTAATACGGTATCAGTCGTGTACGATCCAGTGATTTTTCGCTTCCGCACATAGATCTCTTGTTGTTCTTTGTTCCGATCGAGTCTCCATCTCGGAGATCTTCAATTTTTTTTAGGGTTTTCAACATCTAAAACCCGATCTTTATCTGTTTTGGATTTTGTGATCTACATCTCCTAGATCTCGGTTAATTTCACATGGCGACCACTCAAATTCCAACGATGATCCATCCAGTGCTTACTACCTTCACGCGAGTGACAATCCAGGAGCTCTCATCGTCGCTGAGCTTCTCAACGGTGAGAATTACGTCAGTTGGTCCCGCACAGTTTTCATGGCCCTCAGCGTGAAAAACAAAGGCGGTTTTATTGATGGTACTCTGCTATCACCTTCTCCTACTATAGACAATAGTCTGTATATCTCTTGGGTGAGGGCAAATAATTTAGTTTTGTCCTGGTTGTTGAATTCGATTTCTAAGGATATTAGACAATCTCTGTTGTTTTTCAATTCTGCTAAGGATGTCTGGGATGAGTTGAAAGATATGCTGTGAATAGTGGACCACGAGTCTTTCAATTAGAAAAATCTCTAAACACAATGACTCAAGGTTCACTGTCTGTTACTCAGTATTACAATGCTTTCAAAGGTCTTTGGGATGAGTATGTAACTTTTAGACCTATTATCAAATGTAATTGTGGTGCTTTGGCTTCCTGTACTTGTAGTATCTTTGACTTGATGGCTGCATCCCAACAAAATGATTGTGTGATGAAATTCCTCATTGGTTTGAATGACTCCTATGCCTCTCTCAGAAGCCATTTCCTACTCACATCCCCATTACCTACCCTTGCAAAGATCTATTCCTTACTACTTCAAGAAGAACCCCAAAGAACCCTCCATAACTCTTCTATTGCTTCTGAACCTATGGCTATGCTAGCTAAACCAAACAACCCTCAGTTCACTTCTTCCAAACAGCCTTATTCCAAAGATAAGAAGCCAAGACCAAAATGCTCTCATTGTGGTTATCCCCACCCCTCAGACAAGTGTTATCAAGTTTATGGCTACCCTCCGAAATGGACTGGTCCCAAGGTCCCAGAATTCACCCTAAACACTCTGCCAACCTCGCTCATTCAACCAGTAATCCCGAGAACATTTGTAATGATGCATCTTCCATGACCAATGATCTCTTTCTTGGGTTTTTAGCCTTAAAAAAGAATCAGGAAGTTAAATCTGTCACAGAACCAAGTCCAATGGTAGCAACAGTTGTGCATAATGCTTTAGGTACTCCTAATCCCTTTATATGCACTGTGTCTAGAAATTTTACGAAAAGTACTTGGATTATAGACAAAGGTGCAATTGATCATATGGTTTGTGATGCTAGTTTGTTTACAAATCTCAAACTTGTTACAAATATAAAAATTAATTTACCAAATGGTAATACCACCGAAGCATGTGCAATTGGGCAAATTATTTTATCAAGTGACTTGATTTTGCATGATGCTTTACTTGTACCTAATTTCACATTCAACTTGATATCAGTTTCCAAACTAGTATCCACTACAAACTGTGTGATTCAGTTCATGTCATCACATTGTATTTTACAGGATTTGACAACTCTCAAAATTATTGGTTCTGCTGATTTAAAAGATGGCCTCTACCATATGACTTTATCTGATTCTTCTGTTAACTCATGTCTTTTTGTTAATGCTATTTCATGCAATTTACATATAAACTCTCCTTTACCTGTAAAGCATAGTTCTATGAACAATACTTTGTGGCACCACAGACTGGGACATTTGTCATATAATAAGTTGATGCATTTACCAATGGTTGATTCATCGTGCTCATCTATGCACTCATTATCTTGTGATATATGTCATTTTGCTAGACAAAAAAGGTTACCCTTCACAATCAGTGACTCAAAATCTTCTACTATTTTTGAACTTATTCACTATGATGTTTGGGGACCATTTTCTGTCATCTCTCATGAAGGATATAAATACTTTCTTACAGTAGTTGATGACTTTAGCAGAACAACTTGGATTTATCCTCATAAAGCTAAGGTCTGATACTAAAAATGGTCTCACTCATTTCTACAACATGGTTCTCACTCAATTTCAAAAACAAATAAAAACCTTTAGAACTGACAATGGGACTGAGTTCTTTCTTCATGATTTTTACCAATCTAATGGCATCATTCATCAAACTACTTGTG